ATTAATAATTTTTTGGCCTTAATTTTTCTCCTCACCACCCTGGACCACAGATCCGGTTGCCTGCCTTCAACAACGCTATCTTCTCCAGGTTTTATAACCTCAACAAGGTTTTCAAAGATCTCGGTCAAGCTAGATAAGTCCAGTTTTCCATAGTCTTTAGTGTCTTTATCATTAAAATAAACATTAGAGTTACTGCTGTTTTCAGTCTTCAAATTTAATTTATTATTAACCAATTCTCCCCCTAACTTTTTGTTTTTATTTTTATTTTTCCTCTTGTTTTTTTGCATTTATTCTTACTGAGAAGGAGTTCTCCGAAGAACTGCCATCATCTGCTTCATCCGAGGAGATTCCTTCGCCTCTGCCACTTTCAGTAGTCTTTTTCTTAACATACGTATTCATGCCCGAGGGGCCGCCACCTCATAGTTTTTATTATGTTTGTCTTTTCTTTGATTCTCCGCCCTATTTTTATCACTCACCTTTTCAGTGTTTCTACGGCCAACAGTTGCATCACTCCATCTCCCCAGAAGAGGGCAGGTCCCCGTTGGCGTGGAGAGATGCTCTCCCTCTCTAATGTGCCTGATTTCCTGGATAAGGGGGATAATTGGGTCATTCCCATGTTAAGGCAATCCAATGAGTTTATAACCGCCACATTTATGTCCACCTTATCGCGTACACTCACTGCCAACTTTAAAATGTCCACCACTTCCATATCGCGATTGCTGATGCTAATGTGTCTGGCTTTTTCAGCAAGCGTTCGAGCACCAAGTGTCTCCGAGGGGCTTTCATCCACTTCAGATCCAAGGATTAAAAGGGGGTTCCTCCCCCCCTTTTCCAGGGTTATTCCGTGCGGCAGGGATGCATCCACACACGCGTCCTCATAAGTCACCGCTAGAAATTCGAGTGCGTTCATATTCAATAATTGTTTTTTTAATATGCCCACCTGTTTCTCCATGGCTATGTTTTTGCATTTTAGTTTAGCCATATCTTTTTCCAAGTTGAAAAATTTTTCCTTCCAAAATTCTGGATTTCCTGCCACCGCTGCTCGGATGGATAGGGCCTTCGAGGACCGTTTAACCGCTTCTATAAGTACTTTTAGTCTTCCTTTGTCTGCACCATTCATGTGTGTCGTCCTGTGCCTGATTTTTTGCATCAAATCCAGGTGTTCTCCAACCTGGAAATCAATGTCAGGCGCACTATCCAGATGGAGATTGGCTGTCATCCTCTGTATGGCTTTTTTATTGTCCATTGTAAAGTACGTTTTATGCCCCATTGCAAATTCCTCCTCCTCATCCTCGTCACCCTCCACCTCCGGCGACGACTTGATTCTCCTTCGCTTCGAGTTTCTTTTTTTAGGGCCGCAGCCGGCCCCTGCCCTGTCAGTAAAGCTCTGGGAGGAGCCGCGGGTCCTCCCGTCATTCTTCTCACTATCCGAGAGCACAATGAGAGGTCCGTACTCCACCAGGTCCACAGCAGGCTCCATTGCCGCCAGGAGCAGTGCCGACAAAGAAGAGTCAAGCTTCTCCGTCTCCATTGTCTCATTTGGTAATTTTTCGATCGAGACCTCACACTTATCTGCCTCTTTCCTATTAGAGTCTTTCCTTTTCAGGAGAACAGTAATTTCGCCATCTAATATCTTATTGCAGACGATAGCCAGTTTGGATCCTCCGCTCGTCGCCAACGGAGAAGCCAGCCCTTCACAGGTTGACGACCCGTGGGGGACAGGGACAGTACCCCCCACGTGCCGGTTTCCGGTATCCGACGCCGGAACGTTATTATCATTATCTGAGCTCATGTTCATAATGTCAATGTCGGTTTTGTTAATCAAGAGTGACCATCTCTTGTCGGGCAGTATAATTTTTTTGCTCCAAGTAGCTGTCCTATTCCCTTAATATAGTGGGAATCTACAAGAAACTATATTTAATATTTCTAATGCAAAGGAAAATTCACAAAACATACACGTAAAGTTTATTAAGTTCACAACCATGTGTCTGTGTATAGTATAATCAAGATAAATCAGAGTCAAAATATTGTATATTCATTACAAAATCAATTCACATTGTCACTCACACAGTAATTTTACTTAAATTTAGCTTAACATGCCACAATTATTTTATAAGATATTAGATCATTAATGAAATCATCACATTTATTATGTAGTCAATGATGGAGTAATTATTCAATATGCACACTTGTCTAAATTGTTATACAGGGTCATCGAAAAGTATCGGATCCCCCTAATATCTTCAGTTAGAATGCATTTTGGAGAAAATGTCCAATAGCAAAGTTGTATGGTTTCAAGCGGGGAGTAAGATGATGACCTTGACTTTGACCTTGACCATGTCCTTCAAGGTCATTTCAAGGTCAACCTTATTTTTTAAATGAAACCCTCTACATTTTATTGCATATTCTTATAGCTTATCTCGAGAGCTTTCCAAAACACTAAGTAAACAATTTGTTAAGTGGCGTGTGATTCCGGCCAGTTAAGGCAAGAGTGGCGTGTGGGTCCGGCCAGTTAAGGCGAATTTCATTCCAATTGATCAGCTTGGGCAAAATATTTAATTGTACCAAACAATTCACAACAAATGTTCAAATTGTTGCCCTTTAACAGCCTGGCAATGTGCCAATCTGTTATAAACAGCTGAAACCGCAATCCGGTACGTTTCCGGCGGTATTAGTTCTATCTTTCGAGTTATTCTCCCTCTTAAATCATCTAAATCTTGAGGCTTGGTGGCATAAACTTTACTTTTCAAGTAACCCCACAAAAAAAAGTCAAGTGGATTCAAGTCCGGAGACCGAGGTGGCCACTCAATATGACCCCTTCGCCCTATCCACCTGTCCTGAAAAACCTCATTTAAATATTGACGCACAATAACACCATAATGAGGTGGAGCTTCATCCTGTTGGAAATAAATTTCATCCATATTTTCACCAGCTATGTCTTGAATAGCTGGAACAATTTGTTCGCGAAACATGACTGTGTATACCTGTGCTGTCAAATTGCCTTCAATGAAGAAAGGGCCAACTGGTCTACCATTAAGAATACCAGCCCATACGTTAACTTTTTGTGGATATTGGGTATGATTGTCTCTTTTCCAGTGAGGATTAACGTCACTCCAGTATCTACAATTGTGTCTATTTACATTTCTATTCAGTTAAAATGTTGCCTCATCAGAGAATGCCTCAGTGATCTGTATTGTTTGCTCAAGAGCTCGTACATTGGTGCCTGCGAGAGTGAGAGAATAAAGATCGGCCCCGCAACGCTTTCGGGCAGATTCCCGCTAACGCCTTCGGACATCACGCCTTTTTAGCAAGCAGCTGTCACCTCGTGGACGAAAACAAACAGCCCCAAAAATTTTTTCTGTAACAAAAGAAGCCATTGCGTTTTAATTGATTGTTCCAAACATCTTCATTTTGTTTCCAATAGCCCATAAATTTTTCGTAAATATTATTAATTGATCTATTAGATTTTCAGTTGTTTAACGAGCTTTTTGCTAGTGCTGGTTGAAATAAACAAATCAATAGTTGGACGAACACTTAATAATTAATATTTTTCTCTACTTAATTATTTAGATCAATTTCCTATCACTTACCTGATTAATTCTTCTTTGCTCTAATTAAGAATGGCGGAGCTATGGACATGGCAATGGCTTTGCTATTGGACATTTTCTCCAAAATGCATTCTAACTGAAGATATTAGGGGGGTCCGATACTTTTCGATGACCCTGTATAAAGAAGGTCATTTAATTATGAGTTATTTAATTAATTAATTAATTTCTTTTGTTTCAGAAGACGATTGGTTCACGACAAAAAACTATCCAGTTAGTCAAATAGATGAGAAGAGATAATCCATGTATCTATCGGCCATCAATTTTAAATTGTTCTATTGTTTTATTTATCTTTGTACATATTCATCTCAATAAAGTTAATTCATATCAAGAGGCAGTATATATAGAATACCCCAATATCCTTCTTCCCATCAGCATATATGATGTATAATATCAGTTGGTGACACTAAAATAAGGCAAAATAATCTTGAAGGTGTCTCTTCAGCAATACGTTTACTCTCACCCATATAATTTCACCAATACAATCCACATATTTGACTTAACGTTTAGATCATACACAAACTACACTAGATCTTATAGTAAGTCTTTCAATGTTATAAAATTACAACTGTATATACATATTTTCTATAATTAGATCACTATTCATAACTACTTAAAAGGAATAATATCAATATCACTATTTTTGTATATAACTAATCATTACTCTATGAACAAACTCATCATTCATATACAAATGTTGTACATATCAATGTCAATAAATTATTTCTCCTAACTTATACATCAATAATAAGAGTCTATCAGAAATGTCAATATCAGAGTCTAACTTATTAATAATCAGAACAAAAACAATAAGTCCAATAATATGTATAAAGCACGCATCTTACATAATCCACACCATACACATAAAATTTTAACATATATTATTCCATATATATCATAAAATATAATCTTCTTCGTATTGTTCTTACACATTTCATCAAATACTGATGATTCTGACACAAGTAACAAAAACATAATCAGACAATTATTTATTAAACTAAGGCCTCTTAATAGTAATTGTTGCACTTGTAATGATTAAACCTAATAACTTCATATCACTTAGAAATTCGATAATTATAAATCAGTGCAACAATTAATATACGTTTATTAGACACAATATCAATGATCACTGTAAATAGTCAATTTCTAATTATGCTAAATACTCTATAGAAAGTAAAACCCATAATAACGATATCTAGACTTAATAATTTAACTTCTTAATATATAGTTAATTGAAATAGGAGGCCTCCCCTGCACGCAGCACATTTACAAGAACTAAGCCTTCATCGGTAGTGTACACATAAGGATTTCCTCTCCATAGATAATCAAGCCTCCAATTCCAAACATTGAGATACACCGTAGTAACGATATACATATATAATCGATAAAGGAGAGATGTCAAAATACGAAGCGGAGATAGAGTTTTGCGGCCAATTCATGAAATATGGCTTATTGCTCATGAACTTGATTATCTTCGTAAGTTATACCTTATTAAAAATGCAATATATTTATACAATAATGCATACATGGAAATTAAATATTAATCTGCACTCTAGATTGGAGGGGCTGACATAACGGCCTTAGCCGCATTGGCCCTAGATGACAAAATACCAGCGATAGGTGAACTCGTGGGGAACGATCTACTAACCGGTTTACGTCTGGTTGGCGGGATCGTTGTGGCGTTTATAGCCTTCTTCGGATGCATCGGTGCATCGCGTGAAGTCAAGTGTATGATTCTGACAGTGAGTATCAAGCATTCACTTCCATCCGATAATCGATACCTCAGCATCATGTTGTTCGGTAAACTTTGCATTGAATTGATGCCGGAAAAAACTGTGAATTAATCTCACAGAAACAAATTAATCGAAAAGAAAATTTAATTATTTATTTACGCAGTTTTTTATTCACTCTCGAAGCTTCGAAAACTCATTAATTCGACCCGTCTTTTTCAGTACTTCATAGTCATGCTTCTGCTGTTCGTCACCATGATCATTGGCGGCGTTCTCGGATACGTTTTCCGCGAAAAGTTGCTGAACGTCGACAAAGAGATGAAGAGTTCCATCCGATCTTACGATAGTTACAAG